TATAAGTACACATTTCATATTAAAAGAAAGGCTCACTCTGAAAACCAGCTATAATAATTAGACATTAATACTAACAACGATGTCCACGTTCAGCCCTGGAACAGGTTTGTGCTCACCCAGAGCTTTCAGACTCAGTGCAAAGGCTGAAGAGGCCCGCCATCACAACAAAGAGCAGGAATTAATGACCCAAGCCCCTAGACTTCAAGGCCCACCTGCCCAAAAGCACAAGAGAAAAGGAAGACACACTAAAAACTTCCAACTCTAGCGTCTCACAAGTGTAATCCAGCTCCAATGCTTTCCAGGGTGGCAGATCCACCTAACCCCACCTACCACAACTGCCCATCCAGCCTGGGCACATCTCCAAAACACAAAGTCACTTCTGTTCAGGCTTAGCCGGTGTAAAAGACTGTATCTGAGCACAGCATAAACCAGAATGTACTTTCAGGTAGTCAAACACGATGAGGAATAACAAACTGCTTCCAAACTTTGTGCTTTCCATAGTAACATCTTAATTTCTGAGCTTACCTATAGTTGCTATACAGCTTGGAAATCACTGCAGATTCGTAGCTGTCCTCACATTTCCATCACAGAGGTAACAGGTAGGAGTGTAGTTCTTTCTGGGAGCAAACAAAAGACAGAGGTGATTCGTAGGTATTTATTGAAAACATATTTTGGTCATTTAATTAAAGATCGGGGGAAGGGATCAGGAAAAGGGGAACCAAAGCCAGTTTAAAATTGGCTTAATAATTTCCAAGTCCATTTGTCCACACCTTTGCGTACACAGGAGCATTATAAGGATGCCATGCTGACAGTAGGTGGTGGCCAAATCAAGAGTGGTTCTATATATCTACAAGGGCAAATTCTCAAGGAACTGGGCTGCTTTTCCTAAATGTTTTGCTGGGCAGCTAAAACAGCTGATGCTCAAGATTGCAGTGACGTGGAAAGAAAGCACCTGACCTAATTTGGATTTAGCTTTTGTAGTAGGCCTTTATCACCAAACATAATAAAACTTCTGCAATTAAGTGAGCAACAAAGCATATTTCTGCTGTTCTTTTTTTTCCAGTAGATTCTTTATAATGGCATAAGAAGCCCTGAAATGAGTGCTCTTTGCATTTATTACACATGGTTTGTTTTAAGATTAGGATTTTCCTGTGCTAAAAGCAACGAGTCTTGTCTACCAAGGCTCCTGCAGAGTGCTGAGGATCTAGCAATGCCAAATTTTTGCAAGGCCCAGCATTGTGCTCAGAGGCTGAAGCTTGCTGTTTGGTAATCTCCCCTGAGACTACCATGGTGCTTCCAAGGCTGAATTACCACCTATTTCTCTTACGTGCAAGTTTGGGAGTCCTTTACTCACCTTTCTGCAAGTAAACTTGCATTCAAAATCATAGTTTATCCTCTTTTATGACTAATCAACCCAACAGCTCTTCAGCAAGGTCCCTTGCAGACAGAAGCATTGGTGAGGACCACAAGCTCAGTCTCACCTCAGCAGCCTGCCTGAGGTGACTAGGAGGGGTCAGTGCCACCCCAGCTCCTCCACAGGGCAGATGGGAAAGGAGGGCGGCCACAAGCACATTAATAGAACTGAATTTAGGTCTTGTTGAGACTTTAAAGCAAACATTTCTAGAAAGGACGGTAAGGGAGAGTCACAAATCTACATACATCGCCTGGCCTCCAGCAGTGCCTGTGTAGCCTGTTCCCACAGGGCAAAGGATGCTCAGCTGCATCCACACCACGCTGTGAGCGGTGCTGATAGCCCAGAGATGGCCTCAGCCCCACCACCATCTCCTGAGCCCCCCAGGAGCAGAGAGATGCCCCCACAGGCCTTTTATACCACCAGCCCCGCCTGCTGGGAGGAGCCAGCCAATCATGTCACAGAGCTGGAGCGGAGGTGCCCTATGGCTGCAGGGCGGGGAGCCCAGAGCCCGCCCACCGTGGGGCTGCCCCTCCCTGGGACACTGGAACCAGACATCTGCAAAACCAGAGAATTCCCTCTGAAATAGAAATTAACTTCCCTGCAAGCGCCCAAGGGAATAAAACGGTCTGTGCGGTCACTGTTAAAGGGGCGCTCTGCTGAAGTACACAGGAGATCCTGCCAGGAACATCTCAGCTCCACCCGAACACCAACAGGGGGGAAAACTGTATAAAAAATAAAATGGGAGCTGCAAAAGTGTGAAGGTCTGGTCTCCAGGGGGTGGGCACCTCACTCGGCCCCTTCCAACGGTGGGAGCAGTGGGGAGCCCTCAGGATAAAAACAGCTCCCCGTTAGATAAGCAGCTGCACTCCCGCTCTGATGTTGTTGCTGGGAGATCCCGTGTGGTGTTGCAGAAAACATTGTCAAGAAAGGGGAATTGAAAGCCTTGGAGGGGCTCTGGGAAGCTGCCTTCTCTGCAGGCTGCTGATCGCCCTTGTGCAACCGCTCCCTGTGGCCAAAAACACCCAGGAAGGGCAACAGGCAGTGGATGGGGGTTGTGTGGGCACAGAGGTGTGATGGCACCTGGTCAAGGAGGGACCTGGGGCACGTCCCCTTCTCCACGGCCCTCTGGGATGCTTTGGTCCATGACTATACCTGCTCCTCCCTGCCAGCACTGAGCCGCCTCTCAGAGCATCCTTCCTGCAGGCTGAGGTAGCCCAGGGCAATGGCCAGTCTGTCTTAGTGACATTCCCATCCCTCAGTACATTTTCACCACGGAGACTGTCGCTCTCATTCATCTCTGGTCCCAGGAGAAACGACTCTGTGGGGCTCTAACTCCTGCCTGTTAGCTCAAGCCAAATGGAATATCTATAAACTAAGAATAAATACTAATTAACCTGATTCTTTCTTCGTATCGTGATCTGAACCAGACGCTGTATCTATCTTTAACTTTAGGCTGGTTTGAGATGCACCCTCTATCCACAGCCAGCAAAAATAAGATTCCTTCTTTTGATAAAGTTAATTGTGGGCCTCAACAAGACACATTTCTTGGCAAAACTGTCTCTTATCTTTAAATGCTGTGAACTCACCAGGGTTTGAAAGACCCTATATTTTGAGTGCCTCCAATACAACGAGTTTTGTGATTGAGGAGAATTTAATACCAGCAACTCTGCCACATCCTGCTGAAAAAGAGGTGTGGTGAGGGCGACTTACCTCTGGCAGCGAGGACAGCTTTTGCAGAGCACACAAGCGTTGAGTAGAGGCTGTCCCGCAAAGCCCAGCCAAAGGCTGCGCTAGAGCACGGCAAGATTTAGCTCCCTAAGGCAGGGGAGAGTGGGGTGGAAGCTCTACATAATCTCCTGTTGAGCTGGTTGAAAATAATAGTGCTTTATATGGGTTTTAGTATCAGAGAGGGAGGATAATAGAACTGGGTTAAAAATGAAGATTTATTTCCCTGAGTGTATCAACATTTTCAAAGCTGCTTTGTTTTGATTTTCTCCTTTGTTGGAAGTAGCTCCAATATTTTCTAAATTACTGAAAACTACTGTTGAAAGCTCATGTAACAAAACTGTGTTTTTCATTATGATTTGGTAATTACGCAGGCAACACACATATAGAGAGGAAACTATACACACCAGGTTTATTGTAAGAGCCAAGAGCTTTCATAAATGCAGCTGTGTTCTCTTGTAGAAAAATAGGTTATTTGGGGGAAAATATTTTTTGGACTTCAAAAACCAGTGACAGGGATACCAAGCCACTCTTGGCAAGAGCTGTGCAAAGCTAAACTCTGCCTAGTTCCATCTCTTAGGCACCTTCTGCGCTATGTAGTCTCCCATCAGCTAGGTTGGTAGCCAGTAGGAGCGATATAATCCTCACATCACCTCAGTGTGGACACCTAAGTTTTGACAAGCCTGCAGGTGAAGTTATATAATTATGCCTCTACCATTTTAAAGTTGCATAAACATTGTTTAAGTGGTTTAACAGTGTGATTTGTTCATACAGCGCAAACATCATTTGTATATAGCAGCACAGTGAGTCCAAAGATGCGTCCGGCAGTGCCAGCGACCACCTTTCCATCCCCAGACCCTGCCGCAGGACGCGGATCTCACTTGTGAGGCCAGGACATGAGCCACCCCCTTGTTACCTGGGCACACGAGGATGTGCTGATGTGTCAGTGCACCTGGACAGCAATTGGGTCTCTGAAATAGAGACTGTTACTGGTTGCCCCGTGTACCTGACTGTGGTGCCACATCCACCAGCACCTACTGTTGTCCCTCGAGAAGGGCAGTGAAGCAGGGAACCTGGGCTCTGTGTGTCCCCAGAAATCTCCTCAGCTGCCAAGGGAAAGGTGGAGGGGAGAATGTTCTTCCCATGCAGCTAGAGAGCCTCAGAGGGTTAATCCCTAATAATTTCAGTTTATTGGCTCTTGCGTGCGAACGAGAGGAAACGGTGTACGGCTGCGAAGATCTAGGCCTACGATAACAGTTAACCTCTTCTAGAAAAAAGCCCACAGATCTATGCTGAAGGAAAGAAGGGCAGCTCCATTCCCTAGGAGAGCTGGAATCAATACTCAGTAGCCAAAAACATTGAGGATGAAGTACCGTTCCCCCTTCTTGGTGAGTCCACCAAGTGGCTGTGTTTCTTACGGCAGTAAGGCACTAAGCGTGCAGAGAGACCCACATGGGACAGTCAGGGGTTACCTCATTCTCACCAAAACTGATGGGAACTATATAAACATTTTTATTTTGAGAACCCTGCTAAATTTAATGCCTGAATTGCTCTTAAGCCCTTCTATTTAGGGTATCGGCTAACACTGGCCAGAGTTTAAGCTACCTGAACAGAATCCCCGGTGCTCATGTGTATTTTAGGCACAGAAAACAACCTTTAAAGGCCTCATCAAGAGTCCTTTCCTTGAACTGAAGGCTCGTGTTCTTAGATGAGGCCCATAACCAAAACTGCCAGCGTAACAAATGCACAGGCATCTCCTTTGCTAGATGTGGGTGGTTTTGATGCTTGCACTGGTTACAAGAAGCAATGTCCTGGAGAACATGAAATTTAGGAAGATGAGTAATGTATGAAGTGTGGAGGCAGTGAGAGATGATCCACAGAGATGATTTTATTTAATAATTTATAAATAAATATCAGCTTTCCCCAAACTGCCCCTTAGCCTAGCAATTATATGTTGGTTGATTTCTTGTTAGTGCTGTCCTTTTATAATAACAAACTGTTCCCAAAGCCTCACATACAGAAAGTCAGACAATCAAAGTACTGTGTGCAGTTTTCCACTTAATTCATTCAGTTAGCTGCAATTAAAACAATACAATTCCAAGCCTTGTGTGTTTCTCTGAAAAAATACAAAACTTTAGTTGTTACTATTAATATATACAACCTACAAGAAAGAGTTAACAAAGCCCCTTTTTCTTCTCTGTTGTAGTAGAGTGATTTTCTTATCCTTTTCTGTAGATGCCCTGGCAGTCATCAATATTTCTTTCAGTCACTGGTCTTCAGAAGACACATTTTTCATTCAACTGCACAGAAAGAAAAGGAATTCAGTGGGCCAGATTCCCTCGGTGGTCAGATCCATTCACAGCAGCTGCCCAGGGAGGAATTTAGGTGAAGGTGCAGGAGTCTCATCAAGAAGAGAACCAAACCTATCCAGAAGGGAAGACATCACCATTTTAGCAGGCAGTAATCAAATTTCTGTTCAGATTTTACCTGGATATTTTACCTAAATATTTCATCATTCTGGAAAAGCAGTGTCTTCATGGCTACTGATCTCTGTTCACCCACTCAATATGAACGACATACCAAGTTGTAGAGTCACTATAGAGCCATTCCTTTTTTGTTGTTTGTTTTATGGGGCTTCACTAATGACAATCTAATTAATATTACACCAGTTTTGCAGGTGCAAAAGAGAACGGAGGCTGCATCTTGCCCCACAAGAAAGCGATAAGCCATCCTAATAGCGCAGCCATGACACCAAGCTCCCCCAACAGTGGGCAGATTTCCATCAGCCAAGAACACACTCCGAGTGTGCAGTGCTCTGAGAGCAGCAACATCCCTGCAGTCCGGGGTTGCACTGTGTTTGTCCAAGTCTCACAACGTTTCCAGAGCTTCTGTGGGCAAGATACACCTCAACACTGTCCCAAGTAGAAGACCACACTCCTGACGTGCTAATGTTCGGAATGTTAATTCAGTATTTCAGCTCTAGTTGTTGACAGAAGCTTTGATTCAGCCTACTCCGGCAACAGAATAACAAACCACTGATTTGGATCTGCAGTCTTAATTATTATCCCACCAACATAACTGAGCATTTCATTTAAGCTCAGTTCCGCAAGAAAGAACTATTGTGCCTACTTTGATAAGACGGCATGAAATTTATCCAAACATTTATCGAACTATGTGAAATCTCACTGGAAGAATACGTTCTGAGTTTTTGTGAATTAAGTCCCCCAGGAAAAAATAACACCAAAATGTGTGTTGGAGCGGAGACTCCAAAGGGAATTCACTGCTCATCTACTGCTCACCTTTATTCTTTTATTCCAGTACACAACAGCACAACAAGGGGATGGCAATGTAAAGAACCAAAATCAGCATTTCTTTTCCAGAAAGGCAGAACCCTCTGTCAAACTCAGCTCCAATTACAGAAACACTTTCCAGTATTTTCCTTCCGTCCAGTTACTGCGGTTCTACAAAGATGTTACGCAGTGATGAATGACAAGGAAGGTAATTCACCACACAAGGTACTTATTCCAAAGTTATTCTTTCTAAAAGAAATGTTAACATCATACCCCTGGCATATGACTTTATACTTGAACAATCATGCAATTTGCGTATGATCTGGGTGAAAGAAATCTAGTTGAAAGACCACATCTCCAACTATTGATGAATGTTTCCAGCAAGTCTAACAGAAAAAAAAAAACCAACCATCTCTGCTTGGCACATGTTTTTTCCAAATGTGTTTGCTTAGCTTAGGTCGCTGTAGCAGAGACAACACTAGGCAGATAGCAACTGTATGTGTTCTGTAATAAACATACTTTTCATAAGGCATTTCAGGGCACTTGGATTACTAACAAACATTTTATAAAGTTAAACTTATCGTCAATGTATACCGGGGATCATGTTATTACAGTAAACTATATAGAGTAAGGCACTGTCCATGAAATCAAAGAGATATTTCATATCACTTTAATATACTGACATTATTGACTGACCTATAAATACCAATAACATTTTTATTATCATCTACACTTAACCTTCTTTATGCTTTCAAGCGCCCTTATGTCCAATACCTGAAAACATGCAATTCAGTTCCACAGAGTAACTCCAAAAATCACATCAAGGAAGTTCTTTATTGGTTTCACTCAATGACTTCCAGATTAAATCTGCTCTGCTATAAACACACTAAAGGCTTTCTGTAAGTGTCTACTCTAAAAACACACGGTTGAAGTTAGTAGATCTTTTCAATCCAGCAACAAAGGACCATGCAACTGGAACACAGCTAATAACTCTGCTGATGACACACATACCGGAACAAAAATCCATGCTGAGACCCTTAGTATCAGAAGAATAAAACCATATTTAAGAACTTAAAGAAGATTATGGAGCACACAAAAGGAATAGGTTTGTATATGAAATGTCTACCTTTTACCTACTCACCTTTCAGACATTTGGCTTCATTTAACTCCCAAGTATCAGTGCAAGAATGAGCATAAATGCCAGAATACCAAGGTAAGGAAGAAGCAGACATTGTAAATCTGTTCACAGTAGTGTTCCAGATTGGTGCTAAAATAAGAGTCATGAGCTACATTCATTGCAAGTAAATATAAGAATATCTATACTCAGTTCAGGCCTTCTTTAGTCATCATCTACTTGGGAAGAAAGGAAAAAATTATGTCTTCTATAGAGAGGCATTCATTTTTCTCAGTGACAGAAAATGAAAGTGAATAAACTCTGGCCTTCTCCAGTTCAAGTCAAGGAGAGTTACGTGCGCAAATCCCTGAGGGTGACATCTATCCAGCCTGATTCGACACCACTTACTCACACTTTAAGCTCAGAGATCAAAATCAGTTGGCTCAAGCCTCTGGTTTCACAAGACAGGTTTCACAACAAAATATTCTTCCAAATAGAGGCTGGGTGCACAAACTTTCCATCTCTCCTCGTAACAAAAGTTTTCCTCCTTAAAATTTGCTAGAAGACATGATCTATACCAGTCACACCAGAAGAGCGACAGAAACTTACAGTGACCTTTCGGGCCCATGCATCTTGAATAGTTTCTGTTATGAATGATGAGTATTCTCCAGGCCCCCTAGAACACGGAAACAAAGAAGAGTAAAAGAAACCCCGGAGTCCACCAGAACCTCAGCATTTCCATCTAGCTTTCTATTCAAGCATTTTTACCCTTGGTTATTGATACTAAACAAACCCATGGATGCACCGAATAGTAACAAAGCAGCAGCAGCGAATAAAACTAAACTGAGCTAGACAACACGGCTGTATTGAACAAAATGGATACTTCCCTCAAACACCAATGGCAAGAGCAGACAGAAAAGCAGCAGACGTGTGGTAACACAGACTTTCAGCTGGGAAGGCAAACGGGCAGGCCTTGGCACTTGTGTAAATACTGTGGTTTGCTCCTGGAGATTGTGGCTTCAGCCCCAGGTCCCAATTCCTGACCACAAACCACCAGAGACCTCTCTGACTAAAAGCAAGGCCAGCTCCTTCTCAACGAGGCTCCATCAAATTTAAGTATCATCCATGAAAGCCTCCAGTTTAAGCATCCCGCCATAGGCGTGGTTATTCAGCACAGCAATACGGGGGCACAAATCGGCCGGAGTGTGGGATAGCTAAGACCTGTTCAGCTTGACAACCAGAGAAAATCCCCTGACCACCTCCCGTCCCCGCAGGCTGCTTGGACCCTTGAGAACAGAACCCAGCTGCCTTCTCTGAATCAGACCCGGAGGACTGCAGATTACTTTACATTGCCTGTATTCCTGGGACCTTAATCACAGCCCTTACCCAAGCTCCACGAGGCACTTTCCACGCACTAGGCAAAAGGCAGCCTCTGCACATCAGGGCTACTCTAAGGCCTGTCCACTTGCAGCAGAACCTGCAGAGCGGCAGCTTTTAAACCACTCCGTGCTCTAGGATGCCGTTCCCAACATCCGAATGTGGCTAACTCAGCCTCTGTTTCTGAACGCCGGGAATGAGGCAAACCTGCACGAGCACCAGTGGTCAAAGCCACTCAACCTGCTGACTCTGGAGCTAGACAGAGGCAAGGCACCGCTCTGCATTTCGGTGCAGATGTACACAGAGAAAGGAGTGAGGGCAGAACTGAGACAGTGGGAAGCTTGGAGAGGAGGGTGTCTGTTACTTGAAATCACTCTAAAGCACATTACAAATCTGTTAAATCATTGTGGCTTACCCTGTATTTCAGAGTAAATTAGTAACTTTTCAGAGGGAGTGAAGAAACTACCACTCCACTTTTAAATAATGAAAATGCTAAAAAACCTACACTTAACAGCTCTAAAACTGCGGCAAGTCACCCACCAACACCTACTCCTCTTGTCAGCAGGCTTTTTTCAGCTTTGCCTATTATTTGTGTCAGGCCAGAGATGTTTAATGTTTGCTGTGCTTATCTGCTCAACTTTAAGGACCCCCAAATGTTACAATATGTACCTGTGCCACTGACCTCTTTCTCCACGGCATTTTGATCTAAATAAGTAACAAACGCAGAGTTTCCAAAATCATTTGGATTCACTGGCTCTGAGTGCATAGCTGTAAAAAATCTGCTTTAAGATTATCATCCAATTTTATTCATGCCTGAGGCTTCACCACAGCATCTATTTTTGTAAGATTAACAGCAAGATCCCAGTTCTCCAGAAATGTAAAGAGTAACAGCCAATTGTAAAAGGAAGATGATGTTTCCTAACCTGCCCTGCTCACATCCAGGAAGGTACATTTTCCTAGACCCTTCCATGGTGGGTGTCATTTTTATTTGCATTTTTGCACCCACAACATGCAGCATGTGTATTAGTCCTTCCGCCTCCCATTAGCTGAAATGCATTTCTGATGAAACTGTGGGTGCCAAAAAATACTAACACGAATCTCACATGTGCAAAGAGTACCCTGAAAGACAGCTTTTACTCTGGAGGAGTTAAGAAACAGCCATCTTCCTGTACCTTGCACAACAGCATTTTGAATCATCTAACTTGAAAATACAAGTACAGAAAATGAGCACTTGATATTTCAGCTAATCCATTTGAAATGAATATGCATGAAAACACTTCTTTCTGAACATGGCAATTGGAGGACAAACTGAGGGCCATTTTTAACCTAAACAGAGAAGAAAAGTTTCTTTAAAGAGTGCCTTTGGTATTTATCAATTAGAGCTATTGCATTGCTGTCAGCTTGCACTCCTTCTTTACTTCCAGCTTTGCTTCATCCTACACGGATCCGTACAAATCAATTGTGTCTTCCAAACATGCACTAACCACTGGAAAATGAAATTAATAAAGTGCAAGAAAAGCTGATTCATAAAGCTGACACTCCGGTGCCCAACAAACTCTGGGTTTCTCCCCTCCAGCTAGCTGTTGGAGATAGGCAGGCAAAGTGGTAAAAGATTATCAAATTGCAACTGTCATTCCTGACAAAATGCATCTCAATGCTGGAAGGAATTTTAGGTTTTAAGCTAAAACGCCACCCCAAAGGGTTCCTCAGAGCCTGTCAATATCTGTACCTTGGATGGAAAGCTACCACTGAGCGCAGTGTGTCCAACATATAGAACCTGCCAAGAAATGAAGTTCTTCATAAGAAAGCTCATCTCAGTCTTGGTTGGTAACAATAACAAGGAGACAAGATGAGACCATCAGTCTCAATTGTGAAGACAATGTTTTCCTCCCATATTATTCTGTCTGTCATGTTCCCTTCAGGTTCCAAAGGAATCCCTGTCTCATACATCATTATTTCCCACAAAGCCTGAAAGCTTCAGGGGGGGTTTCTTCCTGCCCACTGTACCAGCCTTGATGTCTGAGTACCTTCAGAACAGTGACAGAGGCCTCTGCCAGCAATAAAGGGGAACATCTGCATACCAATTAAACTGCTGAGTGCTGAAGAGTTAAAAAAAAAAAAAAAAAAAAAAAAGGTCATCTTGTTCA